TTTCTTCTTCTTATTTGAGCAATTCGATATGCAGCAGTAATTCAAACGCTCCCACTCGACGATAATGATCGGCTTCATGTTCTCTGACGCAAACCGTCTAAGCAAGCTTTATGGATATTTTTTTCAAAGAACCCACAGACATAGTGTTTTCAGCTTTGTTCGCTTTGTACGCTATATTTTAAAGCTCCCATCTGGCAGTTAATCTGACACTTGAGATGACCAGAAAATGTGTTACACTGAATTCTGGAATAATGTGATATAATAAAATCGAAGCTGACAGTAGTAGCACATTCAGCTAATGAATGTCAAGTATGGTGAAAGTATTAATAAATCTTCAATTTTATGTACGTTTCTAATTGCTCTACAAGTCACCTAGAAGAATGACGAGGGACGTTTGAAAATTTTCTGACCTAACAAAGATACAAGATATTTTTCCAATTTTTTTTTTCAACATAGTCTTGTTTTAGCTCCCCTCACTTCTTCCAGCGATACTACCATCTTTATAACACGTCCAAATAGTGATGACCTCTTCATTTGACGAAAATAGCTGTCCTCTGAGCGCAAATTTTAGATGAAGGAACAAAAAAAGTCGCTTGGGGCTCGATCTGGTGAATGAAGCAGATCGTCAAGTAGTTCAAACATTATCTTCTTTTTCTGCAAATGTGGCAATTGGGATGAAACTAACCAGGTTCAATTCAATGCCACAAAAACCCAGGCAACGGTTTTCTCCAAACAGATAACTGTCTCCGAATCGAATATAATAATGTCAAGACAGACAAGTCCACTTTCTGCTTCGATAAGTTTGTTGGGAGTAAAAATAGACACCAATATGTCTTGGCACAATCATGTCGCTGGAATTGCAAAGGCTGCTTCTCAAAAGCTTGGAACACTGTTCCGAACCAGAAAACTGTACACACCGCAGCAACTTTTGATGCTTAATGAACCTCAGATCAGACCTTCTTTGGAGTATTGCTCTCATGTATGGAAATCCGCCCCTAAGCATTTCATTCAGAAAAGAGTCACCCGCCTTATTGGAGACGCGAACATCACTAGCAACCTTGACAGTCTTGAATATCGAAGAAAGTTTGGAGATTTGTCTCTCTTCTATAGATACTTTCACGGAAAGTGTTCCAGTGACTCAGCACATTTGATTCCACCAAGAGCGGCAATTAACAAAAATACGCCCGTGGGTTGGGTTACCAATCGGGCGCGTCCCCAGGTGGCGGTTAGGGGAACGGCTAGGGGACTGGAGGCCCTGTCTGGGAAGCCAATGTGGCCTTACGGACGGGATTACCGTACTCCTGGTCAGTGGCAGAAATAAGTAGGGTGGGGGGAACTAAAACTCCCTGAAAGCCTTTGCCGCAGGGTGATATGCGGTTATGAACGATCCCCTTGGGGAACTGGGCGAAACCTCATTGTAATCAGCCTACCTCTGGTAATACGGGGCTTTGCCAGAGGTGACCAACTCTTTCCTTGCCACTCGTAGGAACACACATGAATGAAACAATCACAAACACAGAAACAGCACAAACAAAAACCAATTCCGAGGCTGGACAAGACGTAAGCGCATTTGCGGCGCCGAGGCCAAAAGGAGAAAGAGAGCGAAAGAGACAGGAGTGGCAGCAACTATAAGTGCACCCTCCTCCTCCCGTACTCCACCTTCAACAGCAAGAGCAATTCCTGCGGCGGGCGCCAAGAGCTCCGCCTTGAATGAAGGCAGGGAACCGACTGCCCCTCACTTGTGCACCTCCACGGAGGAAACCTCAAGAAGATTGAAGAAACCGCGCAACGACAGTAATGTCGCTGCACCTTCCAAATCCTTCGCGGAGGCCACCGTGAGACACCTCAAGGTAACCAAAGAGATTTGTGTTCGGCAAGTGTTGGCCTAAACCTGCCAATATAAAGAAGATGTCTCCTAGTGGCCTGTCAGCCTTCCTGGAAAAGACAGGATGGACGATGACCTAGGAGGACAACTCCTCGGGAGGGTGTACAATGGGTAAGTGCTGTGGGTCTACACTCACCCTCCGTACTCTACAGATACAGATAACAAAAATACGCGACGGACTGTGGCTGCCCATCGTTTTGAGGTCCAACTCAGTACACCTCGATCTCCACTATTTAAGAACTCTTTCATCTGGAGAACTGCGTTTATGTGGAATGAACTTCCTGAGAACGTTTTTCCAAAAGAATTTAATCTCCAGCGATTCAAATACAACGTGAATCGCTACTTTCGCACAGGCACAGCTCTTTAAGCGTTTTAAGGATTTTCCTGTAGTGCTTTAAAAGCAGAGGTTTGCAATGTGGGAAAAAATGACCCGAAATTTCAAAACATATTAAAAAATTGTTCAAAACATATTAAAAAATAAATTAAACACAGAGCAGGTGAAAGAAAGAAAAGTTATCATTACTCTTGTCTTCAAACATCAAATTATCATACCACTGTTGGTTTCTCCTTTTGTTGTTTAAATAATACGTTTGAGCTCGACCGCTCGGGTAGTTACAATATATAAGGACATTTTCAAACTTATACAATATGTAAGTTTGAAAATGTCCTTATAGGACGAAACTGCAATAACGTTAGATACAAATAAAAGTGGTAAAAAACATAGAAAGTTTCATTTCTCTTTTCTTCATCATGATTTCCTACCACGTAGTAACGGCTACATCCATCAATT